AGAAAATAGAAATCAAGCAAACATCATCTTAATTCAAAAGTTTCTAGTCCCCAAGTTCATATTTTCAACTGTAAAAAAAAACTCCAAATTTTCAAAATGAAAGTCTCTCTAACAGAGCAATGGAAAAAAGGGTGAAGAGGAAGGGAAAGAAAAGAAAAGGAAGGAGAAGAAGAAGAAGATTAAGAAGAAAAAGAAGAAGAATGAAAGGACAAGAAAAAATTAATGCTTACCTACACAATCGCCGTCGTCCACCAGTACGACGGTCAAAGTTGAGAAGGAAAAATCGCTGTTAAAACTTTGTAATTCGCCGGAGATGGAGTACTTTTAGATCGGTAGGAAATTTTTGGAGGAGGAAATATGATGGATGATGTCCTGCAGGGAGAGAAAGAGAAGGGAGATGCAAAGAGATATCCGTATGTGATGGAGATGCAAGCAGGAGAAGAGATAAGAATGAGGAGAGAGGAGAAAAGAAGTGGTTGGGAGTGGATATGCATGATACGGAAGATTAAAATATCAGGAGGGTAGGATTGGGATAAAATAAAAGGTGCTCCTATTTTGGGAATAAAAAAACACAAGGTCCTATTCTTGCATTATTCTTATATTTTAGTCCTATTTAGATCAAATACTTATTTTTTTATGATTTTTCATAGTATTAAATCAATGAAATTTTTGAAAGAAGTATCCCGGTCAATTCTGTTTCTGTTGAAATCCACAATATAATTAAGTATCTGCAATCGTCGCCACAAGTTTGCACTTCACTTCCACATAATTCAAAAGGGCAGTCACTTTTCTTTGTTCTTGTCACTTTCTTTCAATTCCTTCACTTTTGTTTCACCCCTCCGCGTGCATTGACATTTCTGTAGCTCGATGCATCCCAAAATGTTCACACACAAGGAGTACATTACCAAGTTTATGGGATTTACTTTGCCTCGGATTTTGCAATACCCAATACTAATAATATATACGTAGTATCTATCTGTTAGGGGTCCTTTTGTGATTGGTTTTTATTCCTTTGTATATATTATATTGGGATCCTATAACAAATGAGATAACCCAATTTAGTATTTCTTAGTTCTTCCATATAACATGGGCCCGCTTAATAGTTTAATTAACCATTTATTAACTAAATTTTTTATCATTTTACTCACGATTGATAATAGGGTATTCAAATGTATGGATATTATTTTTAAAGCGAAATCTTCAGGTACGTGCAGGTGCGGTGTCACAAGTAAAACTGCAATGTTACTTGAAGCAAAGTTTAGAACAATTTCCCCTTTTGACCTTATAATGCAGCAGACAATGTCTTCCACATAAACGAAGAATACTCCACCTTTGGTTGCTTCAATGAATTGCATAATGGTTGTATACAACTCACGTTGCTAATCATTTAGAGCGTTTATACATTTCTCATGCTCTTCACGTAAAACGACACGGTCATATTGCAATTCGTCAAATATAAACCTATTCTGAGACATGGATGATTCACTTATGGTCGCGAATGGCATTGACGGATAGTCCTTTAAGCTCTTACCAATTCTCTTCAACATAATTCGTATTTCGACCAGTGCATGATTCTTAATATCACCTTCAGTCAATGTCAAATCTATAATTAATAATTAAAATAGTTCACTACAAGAAATATTGATTTTTACCACAGTCATAATCAGTTGTAAATGACCGAAGAAAATGTGGTAAAAAGTATTAACGACGGTTTTACGATGGTTTTACGCCTATGGGCACAACAGCCGTGGCAAAAACATAGACCACAATTTCATACTGTCGCTTTTGTCTATTTATTTTGGTGTATTTGAAACAACAAATTTTAAAAATTCATATGCCATAGGCCCATAACTAGGGATGGACTGGGACGGGTCGGCACAACCCGGAATCGGGACTGAGGCCCGAACCAGCGGATTCAACAAGCGGGCTATGGGTCTCGAGAATGGTGGATTGGTCTGGTTGGGTCGGCCCCGGCCCATTGGAATTACTTCGAAAAGACAAATGAAAAAACTATTTCCTGGCTCAACCCCGGTACAAACCCGGGTCGGCACTGGGCCTGAATATTTTGGACCCGGAGCCCGACCTGACCTAGTCCCACTCCACCCCACCCATAACTGCTTTAAATTTTTGACCAATCTATTTTCGCAGATGTGAGTATGTGACCAACTTTAGAGGTTCACTCAAATTAAACTTACTAAAATTATTGGTTCGTATAAAAGTAATGACTACATCAAAGGTTGAAAATAAAAGGGAAAACTCTCATATTAGCCCTCGTACTATATGAAAAAAGTCAATTAGACCCTTGAACTAACAAAACATCCAATAAAGTCCCCCAACTTCAGTAAAACACCCAATTACACCCTTTGCTCATGTGAAGGTCCGGTTATCCGGTTATATGTATGATGTGGCAATCCACTTATTTTTTAATTTCTTTTTCTTTTTCTTTTCTTGTTTTTCCTTTCCTTCTTCCTCTTTCGTTCTATCTGCAATGTTCTTCTTCCGCCTTCTGCTGCGTCTTCTTCAATTCATTTCTTCATTTCCTTACTTCCCTTCTTTTCTCTTCCACCTTTCCGTTAATTCTCACACCTTTCTCTGAGTCTGATAACTTGTCAACTAAGGACGAGCTCGGTGCACCAAAGGTGTAGAACACGAAAGCCGAAATTTCAGCTTGTCGGCCAAGGATGGCAGCACGACGGCGCCCTAGGTGTGGAATTGAAGATGTTCACCGGATTTTTGAGCTCTTCGACCAATACACCATCCAAGTAGGAGGAGTAGAAGTTGTATGCTGGAATTTAGTGCTTGTCAATCAAGCTGCCATCGTCGCCAATGACGCTCAGCAGGAAGGTGAATATCTCCTCCGCCTAAACCACCCTCTGTCCCTCTTCGAGTAACCTTTTGCCGGAGTTCGTCATTTGAAGAAGAATATAATGAAAATTACGGAGTATGAAACACAATGGTTAATGGATTACAAGAAGAAAGAAAAGGGAGCAGCAGTACGGGTGGGAAGTGAAAGAAGTGAGGGAGAAAGGGAAAAAAGTTCCGCCCTGTGGAGAAGGAACGAAGAAGATGAACAGAGAATTGGTCCAAAGCAAAAAAGGGATAGAAAGAAAAAGGAAAGAAAATAAACAAAATGAAAAAAAATTAAAATGATCGGACACATCACCCAACTGACCGGGCAACTGGTTATCATAGGTAAAATTTTAAATTTGACTCTTTTTCTAAAGTTGGTGGACCTAATTGAATGTTCTTTTAGTTTGAGGGCTTAATTGACTATTTTGACATAGTACGAGGGCCTGTTTGACAGTTTTTCCAAAATAAAAACATTGGCCAACGGCCAACCACTCATTGATTTACCAGGTTAGTTTTGTAGTATAAAGAGATTTTTTATCCTACATAATTATGACTGTATATTTGTTATTTTTTTGAATTTCAATTCATATAATTTATATTTTTAACACCCCATATCCAGTTTTTTGAAGTATGCCGTTGGTACTTTAAGTTTGAATTATCAATTCAGGACCTGAAAGATGAAATGTATCGATATAGGACCCGAATGATTAAATATTATTTAGTTTTATAAAACTAATAAACTTTTGTGAAGAAAAGTTTATCAAAAATTAGCAATGGAATTAATAAAAAATTAAATAAATCAAAACCTATGAAGTGTTAAATCCTAGATTGATAGTTTTTCATCATTCGGGTCCTATACTGATACATCTCATCTTTCAGGTTCCGAATTGATAATTCATCTATCTTTCGGGTCATGAATTGATAAAATTCCTTTAAATTTTAAAAGTGTATAGTTTTAATAATCCTTAAATGATGGAGAATTAACATAGTCACATTAATGCCGAAATAATTTTATATTTCACACAAGCAATAAGTTACTGATATCAACTTTTCATGAACTTTCAAACCATGCTTTAATGTCATCAGTTTTTCTTAACCAATTTTATATTATAACCGTTATTACTTATTACAAACAACAGTTTTACTTATTACTTATTTATTGTAAAATCTAAATACTCCGTGCATAAAATATTAGATAACCCCGCTGAAAGTTATAACTTTATTCCATTGACAATCTATATGCACTAATTAGTAGTGCATAAGTATATGTTTTTATGTTTGATTTGTGTGTATTATTTATCGTTTTATTTAGTTTGTAAACATTTGTGTGATTTTAGTTGTAATTGTATTTTAATCTTCATTTATAAGTTGTAAAATAGATATAGGATTTATGGTGTTGGAAAAGAGGACTTTGAAGAGAATAAAACAAGAAATTTGACTGCCCAGGAGCAAAACCCGACCTGGTAGAAATCCCTACCCGGTCGGGTAAGATTTAACAACCGAAGAAACAAGGAAATTGCCAAACCCGGTCGGGTCCCCTACTTGACCCGGTCGGGTCTGTGACACCGCACCCGAACGTCCTTGAAAATTCGATTTAAAAATTTAACATTTATGTATTGAATTTCCGATTTGCCAAACAATTGTAAAACGATTAATGTTTTACGTAGTGCATGACTGAATATCGTACTGTTCAAACTCGTATGATAGTGTCGGATTTGCAAACACTTTTCGGGACTTATTAATAAATAAAAGAGCGCAACATTATCTAAATAAGTGATCGAATGATTAAAGAAGAATACCAATGCCTACAACTCTATGTTTGGCATTTTTGAGCTAAATAATGGGAGTAGGATTTTCCTTCTATAATATTCATCAAGTAAATTATTGGGATGAGCCTACACATATTGGAGATCAATAATGTGATTTAGGAAGTTGACTTGTTCTAAATAAATTAGGATGAGTACAAAAAGACATCCTTTGACAAAGATAAAACAATAGGACCCATTTTCCCCATTTTTGGAAGTATTGGTAGATAATTTGGATCCCAAATTAATTGGGATCAATTGGGAACCACTCCACATGATTTTAGTACCTGCAAGACAAGAAAAATAAGTGAGGAGACTTACCTTGGCCGCACAAGCTGGAGGAGGGCTGCACAAGATTTGATCGGAATCAAACTTGAGACCCACCTTGTCAATTTCCGCACAAATCATGGGTGTGGTTTGTCTCCCTCCTCAAAGGGAGTTGTACTCGTCCAAATGAGGTGTATGAGGTGTCCTTGGATAGCCTTTGAAGTCTATTTTCATATTTGAGTGGTCTCTGTTCGAGGGGAGAGGGTTATCTTACAAAAATAGAGCTGGAGTGAGGGGTGGTCTGTGAACTCGAGCTGTGAGAGTGCTGAGACTGTTTGGTTGATATCTAGAGTTTTACCAATCCAATTAAGGCGTGTGAGATACCAAAAGAAATCTCTCAAGACGAGGAATCCGTGAAGGTCTGGTTTGCATCAATCGGAGTAGAGGAAGGCTTCCAAATCGTCCGAGCAAAACACAACCTCGCAGAAACGGATTTAGTCTTCTAAAGTGAGTTGTTAACCCCAAATCCTTTCCATTCATTTTCCAAATGATATGAACGATTGGTGGGACTATTGTACACGAATCCAAGTGTATAATATGTCCTTGAAAAGTTATTTTATCGATGTAAAGGTTAGATACTAACCTAGAGTAAATCTTGGAAAACTAGGAAACGAGTTAAACGGAAAACACCCATTCTGGGGGCTGTTTTCGTATCAACGTTGGAGGATTGAGCTAGCACTTTGAGGAGGCTGTTTAACACCAATAATTAAGCAAGGAATCAGTTCTTAATCCACCTTGACCAAAGCTTTGACCATTGGACCAAGAAGGGAAAGTTTAAAGCTCAATTGAGGTGAGGATTGACATCTAATTGCTTACAACTTGTAGGTTAAGCATGAGATTACCTAAATGCTTAAATCATTATTTTTCATGGATTATGATGATCATATATTGATGAAATATTGATATAGTTGCCAAAGAATGAAATTTGAAATGATTTGAGAATGTATGAATAATATGAGATTTAATGAGTATAAATGAACTATTTTTGCGAAATAGGTATTTTGCTCAGGTATGAAGTATTTGGATACATAAATGAATATTTGTGTATTGAGATTGAATACTTAAGTTGCTGCTACATAATTATAATTATGTAGAGAATTACAAATAAAGAGGATAGTGGTATGATAACAATAATCTTAATAGTATTGAAATACTAGTTAGTGATTATTGGAACTTGTTGATTAAATTGATCCTAGGGATTGGATTGTATGAAAGGTACTTGAATATAGTTCAAGTGTATATAATAACTTAGTATGGAACTAAGGTTAAGTTATGGGAAGTCTTTAAGGATGACCCATGGCAGTTTAATGATATGTCAATTCTAGGCATAGGGTTGCTTGAGAATTGGACCTTAATGCATGGTGATGTAGTAGAGCCGAGCTCTAGAATGCATGTAAGGTGTAGACTTGTAGTCTATGTATTGTATAGCTAGAGCCGAGCTCTAGGGCTTGCGTGGTGATGTAATAGAGCCGAGCTCTAGAACGCAAGGTAAGGAATTGACCCGAGTGACATGAATTGTATGGTGATGTAGTAGAGCCGAGCTCTAGAATACAATGTCATGTGTTAGGGTTGGACTCTATTGAGTATCGTGGCTTGTAGCCACGGGAAATGGGAATGGTGATTTCTAAATGAACATGGGCCCACGGGCCGACTACTTGACTTTCACCTAAAGTAAGTATATATTTTCAAATGGGTAACTTAGGGTTACAATCATAATATACTATCACCCTATTTGAGGGTCTTGTGCTTGAAATACTTGTTGTATATCTATTAGATGCCTGCCACACCAGTACTTTATAGCCGTATAGAGTACTGATGACCCCTTCGGGGGCGTCCCACCACCATTTCAGGTTGAGGCTAGAGCTTGCTTCCTATGCTCGTTGCCCGAGTGATTTCCCCGGAGAGAAGACTTGGTTCGTGCTTCCTCCATTCAGTTTTAGAACATTAATAAACATGCTCATGGATATTTTACTTTAGAGCCTGCGTGCTCATGTTTGCCCTGTGTGGCCCTTTGTTTTAAACAATGTTTTCCGCTGCGTATTGAATTACTTATTATGTATGTTTATGGATGACTTATGTGTGAATGATATTCATGACGCCTTGTATAATATGAATGTGTTGGACTGCGGTTGACTATTCGTATTGTACGGCGGGTTGTTGACGTGTCCGGGGAGGTCCGGGGCGTGACAATTAAGTTGGTATCAGAGCCTTAGTCCATAAACTTCATAATGAAGTCTCAAATTCTCTTTTCAAAATGATTTCGAAAACCATGAGCATAAACATTTTGTACTTGAAGAGCTTTTGGTACTCGAGTTGCAAGGTCTCTAATTGTTAAGATGGTACCCTTAGCAATTGGTATGGCAGCAATTTGAGCCAAGTAGTGTCTTAAGTACCGATCTGTCAATTGACATTTGACACGAGTCTAACGACTCTTTCCAAAATTTCTTTCAGAAATGGACCGTGGTGGCAAGGTAACTAGGAGGAACCCTTTGGGCCGTGCACCTGAGGAGACTGGGCAAGGCAGTCGTAGGACCTCTAGGGTATCTAGAGGAGCGGGCCGTGGAGGCCAATCACGGACCGTGAGTGACGGTCATCTGAGCACCGAAAGTGACAGCTACTGGTCCTATGAGGACTCGACCTATCAACCGGAAACAGAACCGGTTGAAACCCCTTATGAAGGGGATGACGATGATGCAAGTGATGAGGAGGACAACGGCTCCTTAGCGCGGATTGAGGCCCTACTCCAACAATATCACCGTGAGCGTGAAGAGAGGAGGCAACGCCGAAGACGCCGAGCGGGGCAACCTTCGGGCATGGCTTCAAGAGGAGGAAGTCATGGTGCATCTAGAGTCCATGTGGAACCACATGGAGGCCAAAATGATGGAGGTCCAACCATAAGGATCTCCAAATTTATCAAAGAAGCAAGGGATTTGGGGTGCAAACCCTTTGATGGAGCAGGGGACATTTCAGTTGCAGCACAGTGGATCAAGAGGCTAAATGAAGCAGCCCTTGACATGCAAATCGCGCCGAATCTCAAACTGAGAATTGCGGTAAGATTGCTCGAGGGGATGGCATCCAAGTGGTGGGATGGAACCAAGAGCAAGTACGGTGAGACCGTCGTTTGGGAGGACTTCCAACGGGAGTTCTTTGCCCAATATTATTCGGATTTTGAAGTGAACAAGAAGGTGAGGGAATACACCCTCCTAACCCAAGGGGGTAACATGACAGTGAAGGAACTTGAGTACAAGTTCCGGGATCTCGCCGACTACATACCGGAGTATGCTTGTGACGAGAACCGAATGGTAAACCACTTTTGGGATGCTCTTGACCTGGAGATACGTGATAGGGCAACACAATTGCCTAATATGACCTTCGCCCAAGTGGTTGACCAAGCGTTGAAGGGGGAGAAACAGTGGGAGGAGAGGAAGAAGAAAGACGCCGAGGAGGCGAAAAAGAGAAAATGGGAGAGTCATGGCTCCCAAGGTTCCAACAAAAAGGGGAACCATGGAGGAGGATCTTTCCGGGCACCGCCGCCACCGTCTAGGGGGAACCAAGGCCCGAGTGGGCAAGGCTCGAGGTCACAAACCTCGGTGGTAACTCGTTGCAACAATTGCAAGAGGAACCACTCCGGTAAGTGTCGCGACCCCCCTAGATGTTTTCAATGTGGGGATGCCGGGCATTTGAAGGCGCATTGCCCACAATTGGGTGGGCCAAGGTCATCGGGACCAAGTAGCGGGGCTACGGGAACAAGAAACCAAGCCGGGGGTTCCCAAGTAACCAGGGGGCAAGGGGGAGCAAGCGCGAGCAACGCGCCATCCGTGAACCAAGGAAGGACCCAGGCTAGGGTCTACGCGATGACGGAGGCGGATGCTCAAGCTAACCCGGATTCCGTTGCAGGTATTGCCTATCGTATACTAGTGTTTTGTCCTTAATTAGTCCATAAATTAAGGTTACTAATCGTTAGGATCATTGCACGAAGTTTTGGGGTCAAACGGAGCGAAATCGGGCGAAAGACGGCTGATTTCCGCCAACGCACACCAGGCTGGACCATACGCACGGCCGTGCGTGTCCGTGCGTTGGTCCGTGCGTTGGTGGCAGTAGCATCCGGGAAGAAATTGCTATACGCACGGCCGCGCGTTGTCCGTGCGTTGGTCCGTGCGTTGGTGGCAGTAGCAACCGGGAAGAAATTGCTATACGCACGGACGTGCGTTGTCCGTGCGTTGGCCCGTGTGTTGGTGGCAGTAGCTCCGTTTTGAGGTTATAAGACACGCATGCCGTGCGTACCTCCTAGGCACGCCGTGCGTACCTCCTGGGTAGCCCAAAGTCGACTTTTTCGCGCCGTATTGCAACGTTAAGACCCGTTCTTGATCCCAAACACATGTGTGAACATAATAAACCTCTCTAAATGTGTAAGAATGGTAGGAAAGGTATCTTACATGACTTATAAATGTAGGAACACTAAAGATTAATGGGAAGCATGCGCGAATCCTTATCGATACCGGAGCGCAACGTTCATTCGTAAGTGAGGCGTTCGCCAAGGGCTTAGAGATACAATCAATACCAATGACGCAAACTTTAGTGGTATCAACGCCACTAGGGGAAGACGTTGAAAGAACCAATTACTATCCATCTTGTATGGTGGAAATCGGTGGCCAAACCTTGACGTGTGATTTCGTACCGCTGAGTATGATGGAGTTCGATGCAATCCTAGGGATGGATTGGCTAGAAAAGCATCATGCTAGGGTAGATTGCTACACAAAGGTTTTGGAACTCGAAGGCAATGATGGGGATACCCTACGCTTCGAGGGCGATCGAGGGAGATCAAATAGCTGTATCATATCCGCCGTGAGAGCGAGAAGTATGATGAGAAAGGGATGCCACGCATATCTAGCATACGTGGTTGACAAAACTAAAGAGGAAACGAACATCGATGATGTGAGGGTGGTTTGTAAGTATCCGGATGTCTTCCCTAAAGACCTACCGGGGCTTCCACCTGATCGGGAGATCGAATTTGTGATCGAGGTCGAGCCTGGTACCAAACCAATCTCCATACCGCCATACCGGATGGCACCCGCTGAACTTAACGAGTTGAAAACCCAATTGCAAGAGCTTTTGGATAACGGTTTCATTAGACCAAGCCACTCCCCGTGGGAAGCACCAGTTCTTTTTGTGAAAAAGAAAGACGGGACACTTCGAATGTGCATTGACTATCGTCAACTGAACAAGGTCACAATCAAGAATAGGTATCCGTTGCCTAGGATTGATGACTTGTTTGATCAACTACGAGGAGCAACCGTGTTTTCGAAGATTGACTTGAGGTCAGGGTACCATCAATTGAAGATTAAGGAAGATGACATACCAAAGAGTGCTTTCCGCACAAGGTATGGGCATTTTGAGTTCCTTGTTATGTCGTTTGGGTTAACAAACGCCCCAGCGGCATTCATGGACTTGATGAACCGAGTATTCCATAAATACTTGGATCGATTCGTGATTGTGTTCATAGATGACATTTTGATTTACTCAAAGAGTGAGGAAGAGCATGAAGAACACTTGATACTCGTTCTTGAGACACTACGGGAGAAGCAACTTTATGCCAAATTTTCTAAATGTGAATTTTGGCTAAAGGAGATTGGCTTCCTCGGGCACGTGGTTTCTGGATCGGGAATTGCTGTTGATAACAAGAAGATAGGAGCCATTACCGAATGGGAGAGGCCAAAGAACGTCAAGGAAATTCGTAGTTTCCTTGGATTGGCAGGCTACTACAGGAAGTTCGTGGAGAAGTTCTCTGTT